AGCTCGCTCGAGCGAAAGAAAACTCGATCGAGCGAAGAACTCAAACCCTCAGGTCTGTAACCAGACTCACGCTCGAGCGAAGGAACTATTGCTCAAGCGAAGAACGAACTAACTCGCTTGGGCGAAGAAAAGCTCGCTCGAGCCAAGAATGCAAAGATACAGGTCCAAACCAGACGTAAACTCTCGCTCGAGCTACCAAACCCCGGCTCGAGCGAAGAACCAAAACAACAGCTCGCTCGAGCGACAAACTCCTCGCTCGAGCGAAAGGCCAAAAATCTGGGCAGCAACACTAGGCTCCCAAACACAACCAACCTGAACAAACCTGCCCAACACATCCTATAACTCAAATATGAAGTAAGGAGGATGCAAACAAGATAATAAACAACAACCAACATCCACGGACACATGTCCGGATCACTGTTCAACAAGGGTAAACCTGGGGTCGCTATAAGCTCTCCATGGCCCTTCGTGACACAGTAGAAACATATTCTCTACCCACTCACCCCAGCTCCATAGCAACATAGTTGGACCCTTGGCTCACCTATGTTTACTTACCTGCTCAGGATGAGCCATTGGCTCAACCATGCACTCACCCCCTTGGCTACCTAGGTTGAGAGCAGGACCTAGGCACTCACTTGGGATCATTAGAGGATTGTGGATTGGAAGCTAAGACCTCTGGATCGTCAAGGTCGTGTAACTGTCTCCTTGCAGTGATAGTTCCACCTTGACCTAGTTTAGAGAAAAAGGACGTTGACCTGACACTTACACATGTTGCATATATGATACGCCTCTCAAGATATCATACCTACACCTGCAACTCCTATGATGCAACCTTCCTAAGGACCTGAATCGTAAGCCACAGCTAGTAGGGCTAATATCACCCTCTTGTCGAGTTGAGGAGAACTCGCCACCCGTCTTGAGGTTGCTTAGGCTCCAATACTCCTGGAGTCTATATAACGGCATCATAAGTGCAGCCACAATCATAACAAGAGCAACAAGAATCATACAACATATACAAAGTATTCAAGGTCTCTCACTGCCACCACTTTCCTCTCTAAGCCTGCCTTGGTCTTCTCCTCTTCCACCTTCGATGATCTCGGGCCATTGAAGTGTTTGCCATCTTCCCAGAGGTCAACAACTGATCACCTATAACTTCTCTTACCCACAATCTATAGTCATATATGTTAATGTATTTTATTATACGTGATAAGACATGAGACATGACGCACAATGCACAAAAGTGATATAACAATACATGATATGTATTCAACAACACTGATGAAAATAATTTTCCTCGCTTGATTTTCAGCTAAAAACTTATTCTGTAATTTAATAGTCAAAAGCAAAATAGAAGAAACAAATATGCTTGGAGGTTGATTTCAAAATCTTCACATAGAAATTTAAGGAGATGCCAACAAAAGCATGAAATGATACAGAACATTTGTGATCCTAATTGAGATTACAAAATAGAAGAATGAAATGAAAATTTTAAAAGTTTGCACAAGATTTTTCAAAGGATTTGAAATATGAATAATCAGACCCTGACATCTTTAAAGCTGTGTAGCATGGACTCCAGTAGATATATTGGATCCAACTGTCAAGCCTCTTCCAGAACCCAGATCTTATGATGGGACTTGGCTCAAAATACATACAAGGGTTGGGTAGGGCTACCGGGAAAGATCCTGCACATTCAAATGCCTTATATTTCATATAATACTGAGATGAAAATTGCTATCCCCTTTAAGGATATAACTGAACAGAGTGAAATTTCAAAAGATGTCGTTGAAAGAAAAAGTTTGTATAAGTCTTTCCATGCGAGGCAAGAAAAACTTTTTCACTATCAAATTTGAGCTTGTTATTCTTCTTCCATCATAAGTAGGATTTCGTTTGTTCACACATAAGACTTTGTTATTGTCATGGGTAACATGACGACAAACGTTTTCTACCCCCTACCACTGCAATAAATAAAGAAATTTGATAACTACACTTATCCAAGATAAAACAGCTTTCCAGATCTAAGTAGAAGTTAACAAAAAGTAGATAGTTGTGACTGCAAAAAAATCTGGTTCTGCTGCAAAAAGAATTCCCCATTTATCATCAATCCTTCAAGCCAATATAAGAAAGAATAATGATAGCTGCTTCTGTTCAATGAAGAAAGGAATAATTTAAAATAGTTCTGATGCTATTCTAAGATTTATTGCTAGTTAAATGACAAGATTATTTGAGGATTAGTTGGGCTTTGATCCGTACACCCCGGTGCCAATCAAAAAAAAAAAATGACAAGATTATTCACAAAACCAGGAAATTATTCCGAAGGAAGCTTGTAAGAACATTTAAGATATTAATCTTTCCTTCTCTTTTTCTTTTTTTTAAAAAATGGTAGGGAAAAAAAAAAAAAACATATTCCTATACGTTCTCCCAAAAATGAAAAGAAAGAAAATATACATACACATTCCACCAAAAGGAAGATTCCTCTTCTCGCCAAGGCACAAATGCGAAAGCAGCATATGGCCAATAACTTAGGGCAGCTTGACGCACAAATGGAGCTGCACGCTCCCTTGTTTCTGAGAAGAAAATGACTTTCACCTGTTATCCAAAATTGAAAAATCAATTAAGGATGATAATAGATATAAAAAAATTAAAACAAAATAAAAAAAACATGAATCTTCCCATGGTATTGAAGCCAAACAATGCAAGAATGAGCATAGCAGTGTCATCAAAGAAGGAACACATGCCTTACGTATCATCATGTTGTAAAGTATCAATTTGGATGGGTAGCACAGTTAGCTAAAATAAAATATATAACTTGGATTTCTCGGAAAGAAATAAAAGAACTAAAGACATGATTACACATAGCATTTCTTCCTCTTATTTGTTTCAAGGGTCCATAAGAAGATTGCAGGATCATAATTTTTAGTCAAGTAGTAACCGGTAAATAGTTTTATTGGTGTGACAATAAATTATAATCAAAATTATCAAAGTGAAAAATAATACTAAAAATAGTACACAATAAATAAAATAGACTGATTAGCAATATATGGGAACTGAAAATAATTTGTACCTTATGACTGCTTTTTCCCACAAAACTTTGTAGCTGGAATAAATATATAATTCCATATCAGTTCCAATAAAAAGGCAATTAAAAAACATGAAAGCAAGAGAAACATTATTATCTGCAATGCAAGCTGGTTTCAGTTAAAAGTACTATGCAAAATGATAAAGGAATATCAAAAGTCATTAGTGATTTATGTCAGGCAAGTATGCATCTTGACAATTGAGAACTTGGAAGGACTAAACTAGGTAAAACTTTAATGTCTGCCATCATTCACACAGAGATGCAGCCTTCACAGCTGAACAGATCTTCTCAAACTGGTCTGCCAACCTTTTGCAATCGCCCCAATTAATGGCCTCATGTGCATGGTAAATTCAGCATACATAAAAAAGAGGAGGATCAATTACTCGTCTTTTTTTTCTTTTTCTTTTTTTTTCCAGGTACATTTGAGGAAAGTGGAGAATCAAACCATAACCTCCTAAACCTAATGATGTAAACTGGTTCTCACCACTGCCTGACTCCAGTGGTTAAAGATAAATTATGCTGTCCACCCCAAAGGTTTGGCTTCAATACACTTGCTACCCTATGGTATTAATAATTACACTGACTTCCTCTATTTGGGAAATCATGTAATAGATTTCCTCCTGTTGCTAACTGACCATTGGTGATAAAAATGAAATACGTTGACATCATATTTTGAAATTTTGAAATTTTGAAATGCCTACATTACCCTTGATATAAGTTATAACTAGCCCAAATGATGACATGTGTCACTCTAAGCCAGATCATCTATCACCACCACTTCTATGTCTATATATATACATTAATTGGACACAGCAACCCCATTACCATTGTCACCAAACAACTCTATCATTACCATTACCATCACCATCACCATCACCATCACCATCGCCAAACAACCAACACTACTCTGTCGATTTAGCACCATCATCAACCACCACGACCATTCAACCCCTATTTCATCACCAACACCATCATCTAACCCAATTCCAACCGCATGTTTCACAAACTACAATCACTACCCACTTTAGCACCACGCCCAACCTTAACATCGACAACCACAACACAATCATCCATGAATCACCATAAAGTTTCCAAATACCCAAACACGAGAGGCATTTCTCTTCGATTTAGAGAAGCTTTGCAATGACAAACCCAATGCAAGTATGGGTCACAATTAGCAGAACTTCAGTTCCACCAATATTCGCCATCAATGCCAAACTTACTAATGGCCATGATGGTGGGCACACACTTTGCTAGCCAAAAAGACAACGACTACCACAAATATTGCCACCGCCACCGCCACCGCCAAAATCAAACCCCTATCATCCATTGTTTATCAGATACCATACACAACCCAAGGCCTAGCTTGATAGAAGATATGCTCCGAGAAGGATTATTGACCCAAAATAAGAAAAAGGCTTGGCAATGAAAAACATTTTAAACGAGGGCATTGTTACAGTTGTTGTAAACTGATCAAAATGCAACTAATGCACGACAAGGTTTGTTGATGTTACAAATCAACACCATTTTCATCTAAATCTACTCCAGATAAGCAATATGAATCAGCCACCAGGTCCCCCAACAAAGCATGTCCTTTAAAAAATCACTGCTCCCATGACCCAAATATTTTATATTCTTTTGCCTATTTGCTCCATTGATTCACACGTAACAATCATTTAGCTATTGTTGGGACAATATAAGGTTGAATTGGTTTAAGAGCTTGCAGATGGGTCTTAAAAGTTAGAGATTGCAATGTTTAGCTCACCAAAGATGTTGAAGTTGATTCGGGGAGTTAGATGGAGATGGTAATTTGTGTATTCACCCTCTTTTTGTAATTTTGCAAGTACATAAGAATAGGAACTGGTATAACTAGGTGCCCATAGGTGGATTTGAGAGAGGTAGTTGTGTGCCCATTGCATTCTTTATTGAATGGTAGTTTAGATCAAAGGTGGAGGGCTTGGGATTCATTATGGCTCATATTATGGTGGATCTATCAAAGATCAAAGAGAGAGAGATGAAAGATGGAGGGAAAGA